CCGGTGATTCGTTCAATAACGGCAAACCTACAGAAAGGTACCTAAAAATTATTGAAGGACTTCACAGGAAGAGAACATTCACCACAATGCACATCTTTTTCTCGGGATGCTCTACAGTTATGTAATGTTGGAAGTCCTTTTCCACCCACTTCTCTTCCTCTCGTGTCCCCCCCCCCCCCTCGTTCCGTTACGAGTGGGTTCTATACGCCTGGCCTATCTCCCTAATACACTGCGCAAAGTCGACGGCAAAAGACTTTACGACCCACGCTCGAGCAAAGAACACTCATTGGACAAAGTGCGATTTGACGTTGTTTGGGTGTTTGCTATGGCAAATGACTTCGTTTTTACCAATATATCAACAAAGGTGACACTCCTGTCACTTGTGATTGAATACTATCGAATTCTGAATTATAGACTTGTCAAGGTCCTAAGATAACTTCCCCTCAAGGATATTTAGCATCTGCTGAGTTTTTACTTCAAAGTAAGTATGAAACAGCAGGTTCCCTCTCCTCTCCCCCTCCCCCCCTTCCGATAGACAACGTAGGCCTCAACGCCAGCAGGCAGCTTGTGCTAGGTCGTGGTTATACGATCACAGCGTTCACATTTTGCACGTAGCCCCATCATTACGATTTACGGATCCGCCGAGTCTACACTCTCTTCACTACGCACGCTGCCCCTCCGTGTGAACGTGCTATTCACATGGGGGCTTGAAAGCAATTTGGTACGGTATCACCGCGGCGACGGGGTGTGACGGGCGTTAGGACAAAGAACAAGATTCGGACTTGAATGCGTGTATAGGCGAAAAGCACACACATTGATACGGTAGGTTGAAACAATGCAATTTTGATTGCCGTATATTTATATTCACAGGTTTTCCAACTTGAGATCTACTTCTCTGAAATTTGGTAGTTTGCGCCTGTTACAGTCATTCTTTGTATCCTCCCCCCCCCCCCCCCGCCTCCCCCTGAAAAAGAATACAACGGAGAGAAACCCAAAATTTGAAGAAGAATCGCTTATACATGCTCAAATTATCCCTCATTCACCAAATGTTGAATGTATCAACTCAAGTGGGTTAAAGACGAGATGTGTATCACTAGACCCGCTTGGAAACCCTTCTAGATCTCTTTCTTTTTTTTGCGGAACAACTCTCTGAAAGAACTTATGAGCGTTCAGATGTCATATTTGTCAAGGAAGTGGCACAAAATCGAGAAGCTCTACTAAACAACTATGCGGAACTGGCTGTGTTCCTTCCTTGTAGTTGATACTTGATACAAAATTGTTCACCGACTTTCGGGTATTTTTGTAAAGTTTATCGCTAATCTAATGCCACTTAAAGCTTGACAAATTCAAATGCTCATTAATTTTTCGGAGAGTTCCTCGAAATGGAATGCAGATTTGAAGCAGCATTTGAAGGAAAGTTTAGTGATACACATCTCGTCTTCAATTGCCAACTTAAGCTGATATTTTTCCCCTGTTAGTTTTTTGGTTGATAATTCTAGCAGTTATCTAATCAGCCATCAGTAAAGTAGATTTCCTAAAGTTTTTCAGAAGATGTCTAATGTTTCTAACAGCAGACGTCCTTAAACACATTTGCTTCTTAGGTGCATCGTATGAAGTATATTAACCAGATTAAACAAATGAGTGTCTTCTTCTCATCTGGGTGCTGGTATTAGGTTGGCAAATCAGAGCAGAAAGAACTCCAGAAGTCTTCCATATTTTTGTTGTACAGGTAGTGAAACTTGCACTATCAACAGATATAACAATTTTCTGTCGAAATCTGTGAATCTAAGCGCAGACTTTTGATCGGCACAACTTCGATTATTTGAAAGGAACAGATCGTAGAGCCTGTGTAACTGCTGTTCCGGAAAATACTATGCTTGGATTTCTGGCAACCTTGAGAAAATCGAAACTTGTGTAACTTTCTTTTCTGGCTCCATCCTTTTGGAGGAAATTCCACGAATAGTGAAGCAGATGACCTCTTCGGATGATGGAAAGCTACGATTTTCTGAGAATCATCTTTTTTCGACTGCGGTCTTGTGTACATAAGTTGCTTCGTACAGCCATTTAAGTACATATTACTAACATCATTACGTCTCCAAATTCATTACATCGTTCGGACGGCTGGGAAGACGAATTGGGGATTATTAGAATTGACCGCTACGCGTCGGCCTTGCACTCATGAGTGAACGATTATGTGTCGATTGCTCTTGGAAGATGAAGGATCGGAGGAGAGGGAAGGGGAGGGGAGGAGGGGGGGGGGGGAAGGAAGAGAGGTCGATGATAGGAAAAATGTACTGGGGAGGAGGGGGGGGGGGGAAGGAAGAGAGGTCGATAATAGGAAAAATGTACTGTTCAGATGAATGGCTTTTAGTGCTTGTTAGAACAAAACCTAGAAAATTCTTTTGACAACTACGCCCTTATTCTTATCGATACTCGATGATAATATTCGTGTATTATTTACACTCAAGGCATGTGTCAAACAAAGGGCATGCCTTTGTAGGCGTATACAAGGTGGTTTGTCTTTCTTTATCTGCGTTTCTGGCGGTTGTGACAATGCGCAGCAAATTAGTGAGATACATATGTGGAAGGGAGAGGGGAGGGCGAAAAAAATAGGGTTAATTAAACAATAAATTCCGCATAAATGGAGCTAACCAATTAGAACAAGAAAAAAGTGGTGCTAGTAGATGGTCTAGATGGTCTCTACATCCTAAGACTGCTCATCTTTTCATTTTCGTTCACCGACACAAACTGTGTCAATATTGACGGAATGAATAAAAGATGTACTTCTCAGACCCACTTGCATCGAGTTGAATGTAATAGAAGATCGCCACTGAAGGGTTCCCCCAACACATTGGGCAGAGTATCACTTGTGTATCTACGTTGCTAATCGTGACTCGTACTCTTTCACCCCCTGCGACAGTGCATTTGATACAATGATTCTGGGGCATTGTATGCACGTGCATAGCGCCCAGCGTCGGTTACTGTAGCGAGATACATTTCGCCAAACAAGGGAAGGTACCAATTTGCGTTAGCAAAATGGAAGGAAGTCTATATCATCGGAAGCACCTTCGGAGGCTGTATCTAGGTATGATTTCTCTATCAGCGAAGAATTGAAAAAAGTAGTTATGAGCGTTTGAAACGATAAGCTTGTTGTAGTCCCAGTTGATAAAGGACATCGAAAATACGTGAAAGCTAGCAAATCTGTGTAGATTATAGTGCATATTTACTAGGAACTTCATTTGTTTTCATATCGCTGCTGAACGTTTTTCACAAAATATGTGGCAAATTGAACATTCAAACGCTCATGACTACCAAAAAAACAATCTCGCAGATGAAGAAAGCATTCGGAGTCAACGTTTGAAGGCGCTCCTAGTAAAACGTTTTCTCATTTTGCAAGTACAGTTGGCGTCCTTCCATCTTGAGACAATTGTGTTCGGCTTAAAGCACCTAGGTACGAACTGGAGCCTTAATTTGCTGTTTTGTTGACAGTTTTTTGTTTTGTCTCAACCCCGTATCTCTCGTATTATTATGTTTTGTTTGCCTCTCCTACACGTACGTGCAATAGGAGAACTAAGCGGGAAGTGATCACGAACACGAATAAACAAAAGGCAGTTTGAGGGCCTTCACAACAAGCCTATCGGAAGATCACGTCAATAGCTCTGGCATCTTCGCTGAAGCTATCAAAAACCATGACGTCAATTCGGACAGCTCTTAAATCCCTCAGTTCTAACACATATGCGAGTTCTGTTAGTAGGGTGATAAGCCAAAGAGTAAGTAAACAATGATGTTTTTCCATGATAGTTTGAAAGAATTCCTTGATAAGAGCAGCTAGGAAAATTCTGGCTTAACATTCCGGACCCTCTACAACCATCATGTACTTGAATATGTGTTAGGATAATTTTTGAGCTACAGTAAGCTTTTTCGCCTATAAATTGCTCAATAGCGCTATGCCTACATATTTGATGTTACTATCTCAGCTCACTGATTATTTTGAGAGAAAATAATGAGGGCAAGTGGTGCATGTTTATCAGCATTGATTTTTGTCAATTTGTTTGGTTATCAGATATGTAAAAGTTCCTGTCTGACAGTGATCTTCCCGCAAGTTTGCTTTTTTAAACGAAGACACTGGTTAAAATCTTCTTCACCGAACTGATTAGCTAATATAGTATCCGATGCATCAAGCTGATGCAATATTCTTCGTTGGCGCAGAAATCGGAAGGCTAGGGCGGGGGGGGGGGGGGAGGAGGAAGGGGAGTAAGAGTGTGGGAATCACGTGTATCGGACATGTGTAATAATGACGCAACATAAATTCCTTTGATGCCCGAGGTCAGCAAGTATTATATCACCAAGAGCAGATTTTGGTAGTAACGTTTGATACACTGACATCTGTCCTGTCACAAATTTGTGGCATTAATCCCGAAAGTCAAGGGTGGATGAAGAAGCTGCAATAACGAGAGAAGACGTAAATCTTGCTTTATTACCACACTTAAAGAATATAGCTGTGATTTCACTCCATCATGCATGTGAACGAAAGAGTGCTAAACGTGCTTGCATTTTTGCCCACCGAGGATGAATTTCCTCACCAACGAAAATACCAAAAAAACATCAAGTAAAATTTTTTTGCTATCAATGCAAGCAGATATTTCTTGATAGTGCAAAATCCTCGAACAAATAGACTGTGTTCCAAACAATTTAAACGCTAATGTGCGGAGGGAGGGGGGGAGGGAGAAAGAGGAGGAGAGCTCTTTATTTTCTGCCCTTCCAGCAATGGGATTCAAATTTTGAAAGTGGTCTACATGAAATACGGATTCGTTTGCAAGTTTTATTCTACAAATCTCTATCAAATTTTTACTGAAAGAACTGAACTTGCTAAAGTTACCAATGCTTTTTTGGGATTTTTAGCGTGTAAAAAATACAGGATTTGTGAAGGTTTTTGGACTACCACTTCGACCTACATGAAGGCATTCATACCAGTTCGTATTATAACCTTGCGCTAGAGTTCAGTTAATGAAATCACTGATAGTATTCATAAACAGACTAAGCAGCGATTGTTTGACGGGGTAAACTCTTGCGAGACGCTTTTCGACACTAGTGTATAGTAATTTCATCAACTTTTCCGGATAGTCTGTCAATGTGAAGTTCTCACGTCTCAATCGTTTGTTGTTCTGCATCCTTGCAATCCACCTGGCACCAGCATTGATGCGATAGTGCCTAGAAATCATAAACACTAATGACCTTGTAACTTAACACTTATCGACCTTATGAGAGCTTGGTTCGGAGGAACAGGCGCACCCTCAAATCCGGGAAAATACAAGTATGCTTCATGAATCCACATAAGCAGCACCTATGGCAAAAAGCTAGTAGAAACAAGGTTTAGGTATATGGGACTCACCCGTCGCGGATCTACAACACATTTTCCTCCTTCTTTGATAGGAGCTGATGTGTTGTGAAAAACCAATGTTGGTAAGTGATTCTTCACTGTTTGCTCTCCCTGAAGCTTTGATGCATGGTCGAAATGTGGTTCCACATAAGGCCGTACCTCATACATAGTTGGTGGGTTTCTCGTACGCATTACAATGGTTTTTTGAAAAGTAAGCGTCCCTGCAATATTGCTCATAATCCGAAATGTCATCGAAGTCCAACGAATTTTATCGAAATCCATGCATGGTCATACCTTGGTTGTAGGTGGTTGAATTCTGACTCTAAGGGCACCGTTAGACTCAGCTCGTGGAAGCACATGTTATGATATGTAGGAGTGCCCTTTTGCATACGGTATCTGCAGGGTGGGTGTCAAACTTCATTCTTTTTAGATTTTTGCTAACTGTGGTTACTCGATGCGCTTAGTCATTGCACACTGAATAACTTACCGTAAGCAAAAATCTAAGAAATGTAACCGCCTATCTATGCGCTTGGTTCCACGTATCGGAAGATGCAGTTGAGCTGGGTCGAATGTGCTTTTGAATCCAGAAAATTTCATTCTTAACATATGGCGATGCCACGCGTATTTTTGTGAATTGCGGTTAAGTTTGGTGACTTCCTTACGAATTATGAGCCGTATCTTGTACATATAGTTGAAAGTCTGTATGTCTGTATGTCTGTCTGTCTGTCTTCCGAAGATTTTTTTGGGGTGCTTCTCAAAATTTTTGCGGGTCCCCAACCCCGCCCCCGAAAAATTTTTTTATATAGAGCTAATTTGAATTTTAAAAAAATATTAAAATTATTTTAATTAAAAAGTAAGCAAGTCGCTTTATAACCCATATAGATAAGTTTCAAAGATTTCGCGACCCATTCTCGGGGGGGGGGGGGGGGAGGGGCGCCCCACCCCTCGTTCCACTGGTGAACGAATGTTCCGAATAGAAAGTTCCATTTCTGAACCAATCAGTATAAAGTCGCTCAGTCATGGATTTCTTATTAAAATACACAAGGTATCCAGTAAAAATATCCCGCTGTTCTACTTTTTCTTGAAGAAGTGATGACAACCTACTAAGTGGTTCTTTAGGTTTTTCGGAGATTTTGTTTCCTGATTCTAGGTACTTTCTGTTTATCGAATCTTGATTTATGGAATCCGAGTAAAAACATACCTATATTTGGCTTTTCGGTCATCGCTTTCCTTGAAAGACAGCGCACTAATTTCAGATGATGATCTAACATATAAACCTACTGCACGTATTCGGCAAGGGTCTGGTCTCCTAGCGCCAAAATTCTTTCATCTAAATCCGTAAATATAGCATAACGGGAATGGTGCCGACTCCGTTGCAGACAGTCCTTGAAAGCATTTATAACCGATGGCAGATTAATTTTGACTGTTGATACCTCTATCCCAGCGAGCTGCCATTCACTTCCGAATCTATCGTTCTCTCTTCTCAAATACACAACTTCAATCTCCCCACTTCTTTCATAGTCCTCAACAAGCTGAAAATCGACTTAGTTTTTGAGATGAACGCTCTTGACTTACCATGCGAGAATAATTATCGATATCCTTTACATAAATGTATAAATGCTGTACACCTTGCAATTTATAATGCTCAATCAGTTCCACTAGCAAGAGCCACTTGCTGTCATTCCCGTATATTGGCGCAAGACACACCGACAAGTTGTATTTCGGCTCTGAATATGTGGAGTTAACAGTAATCCTGACTTAGGAAATGTTCTACCGTCAGCAACTCTATCCAGCACAGGCACTAGGAGATTCACTTCATCGTTTTTGTGTTCGGTTATTCCCATGTAGGCTGCGCGGGGATGTCTACAGCAGTGAACAGCGAATTCTGGGAATACCATGGACTCGACAGAAATATGTAGCTCATTCCAGTCCGCGTCAAAGTACCGGCAATACATTGTTTGTCTGAAAACATAGTGGTCGGAAAATTAAACTGGCTTTACAACCAGTGACCAGTAGTGGCTTTGCTTTACTCAAAATTGTTGGAAAGGCGGGATCTACAATAGCTCTTATTTTCAAAAAAACGCACAGTCACCCGGTTTACGTGAAATTACCGTGGCGTGGCCATATCTCGCTTCAGAGTAGACAAGTGAGTCCTAGCGTAATGGATAGGCACACTGAGTCGTAACCAAAAATCTAGAAATGGATTGTGGAATCTGACCTCCTACTGTGTGTCCAAGCGGGTCCTTCTAACATCAGAAGATGCGCGGCGCCGAGCTGTATCGAACGGTGCCCTTGGATTAAGAACTTGTCTACTTGAAGCGAGATATGGCCACTCTACGGTGTCACACGAAACGGGCGACTGTGTGTCGTTTTTCCTGTTTCAAAAATACGAGCGGTATTGTATTAGAGTGATCGGTAAAAAATGGGGCAGCTTGATTTTTATTGAATTTTGAGATTTTTTGTTTCGATTAACAACAGGCAGGCTGCAACGTAAACGTCGCCTATATAAGCGACCTCCGGCTATTATTCTGGCAAAGCGTCAACTCTCCTCTCCCACAACCCTATGCACGGCGCCCTGAAGAACTCGAACACGGTTTTTTGAGCATCGCTCATTCTTGCGCTGCCATACCGTAAAGTTATAGAGCGATTGACATATCATCCGAGAGAGCTCTTCATGCTCTTTCAAACAATATATTAAACATACAGGATTTCTTTCTGTTTCTAGTCAAAAAAAGCGATATACTTGAAAAATCGCGACTTTTGGTGCAACAAAAACCAATAAATCAAGTTTCAAGTGTACTTTCCGAAGATAGATTAAATGTGAGGTAAGCTGCATATGGATGGATAGAGCGTAAGAAGCTCTCTCAAATGGTAGATACCTACAAAACTTGCGTTCACCTGCAAAGAATTGGATAGCACGTATCTTTGTTCTTAAAGATGCTGATGGCCGTATCTCCTGAATTTGAAAGTTAAGGCCAGCAACCCATCGTGGGTCTGGTGACTGTACTTTCACGCATTCAGCAATAGTACTTTGGATGGTTTCGCATGTTTCGCTGCGCAGATACTGCCCGAATTTTACAATGTGTCAAAGTGACTAACTTTGCATTTCAGCCACTATAAAAATTATTAGGTATGTAAATGACCTTATATAGGTATTTTCTGAAAGAGAATAATTTGTTCTAACATCTCTCAAAATTGGGAAGTTTAATCATTTTTCTTTTTTGAGAACTCTACATTTATTGGTACTTTTCCGTTATCCGGACCCATTTTTTCAAAAAGCTCTCATAAAATACGTTCTTCATTCTAAGAACAATTTTTTATGGATTCCACGAGGACTGCCTTCCTGCCACGTGTCAGAGAAATATTAACACGTTTTGGTCCATTCTGACATGTTTTTTTCGAAATTACTTCCGGTGAGGTGAAAGAGCATTTATGATCACTTAAAAGCTGCTTAATTGGTTTGTGTGAGAGCAAAACAATCTGAAATTTATATCAGAACATCTTGATCGCTTTCAGCAACGATTCAGCATTGTTTTTTTCTTCAAACTTTTCGTCTTGCGAATTTAGCCAGACGAGACTATAAATGATGGCTCAAAGTTGCTTGCTATTGCTTGTTTTGTCATTTAGATGATGGGATCCTAGTCCACTTCTCTACTCTTGGCAAGTCTAATCTGTTTAATTAGTAACAAAATGACGTTATTATGATAACAATGCTCATTTTTGACAGTTTAATCGAAAATGGGGTCACTATTGACTGATAAAGAGGTTGAACTTACGTCGCTAAGTAGGGCAAGCCAAACTCCTGGTTAAACCTGTTAAACATGCAAATGACATGTCAAATTTTTTTGACACGTGGCAGAAGGTTGACACTCCTTCCTGTGAAGTCGGGACCAAATATGGTACGAGGAAAGAAGCAATATGCTTCATTGAAAAAATGGGTCCGGATAACGGAAAAGTACCCATTTATTCTCCAGATGCCCCATTTTTTACCGATCACCCTAATATATACAGTGGATTATGGGACTAGTGGTTTATGTCAAAATAAAATCATATCTATGAAAGCTGTTGCTATTCAGTGTGTCCACTTGCATCAGCTTTGTTCAATGAATGAGATCTCGTTCGGCTCTAGCAGCAAAATTAGGTAGTTGCCATCTCCTGCGACCCATTGCAATTCTGATATAGGATAAGAACTCCTACAACTCATAGCTACCCGATTCTAATCATGCTTTTCAATTTATAGTCGCATTTGTTCGAGTATTGAAACAGAGACTGTATGATATGGTGTTGCTTCATTTTTGTGGCATTTTGAACAGAGACAGGAAGAAATCTTGTAAATTTTAGAGATTAGATGCGGATAGCCATTTCTAAGTCAGTTGATCAAATGACACGGGTGAATTTAAGATACCTAGCCAACATTATATCTACCATGTGCGGCTCCATCAGTCAGTCTTAAGGGAGGGGGGGGGGTATTCGTTCTTTCATCATTTTAGAAGTCTCTAAACTACTACTTATCGGGACATACACGAGGTCTAAAAGGGAAGGATACTTGATGACCGCGGCCGTGATTTGCAATGAGACACATATCACTAGGCACGTCTAGAATTGCATTTCAAATCTTTTTTCACTACCTGCTAAGCGGTTGTCTAATATAAGTTATACACATTTTTCCATAAGAATCTGCACTACTCTGGTTTAGCAAAATTGTGAAAATCTCTCAAATTTCTTTTCTCGTTCCATCTCTCGTTCTAAACAACATTCCAAGAAGAGCGCAATCACTTGAGTTGGGATAACCTGCCTCAGTTGCGTTTATCCCCAAAAAACTCAGATCAAATTTTGAACTATACTTTATGTAGTGTGGGAACATTTTGCGAGATAAAAGTTTATGTAACTTATTTCATACAATCGTTTAGCAGGTAGCGGAAGCAGATTTGTAATCAGCGTTTCAAAATGCATTTAGTGGTATGTGTTTCTTTACGATAGGCCACAGTCATCAATTATCCTTCCCGAGTAAGAATGATGGAATATTCAGAGTTGAGAAAAGCTAAGCCACGGACTTTTACGATAAAGACGGAATCTTACCCAAATGATCCGTCTGCATCGTGGGTTACTACAGAATAATCTGAGTAAGCGTATGCGCCAATCAGAGTCATGCTTGTTTTTGGCCAATTCCTTCTTCCCGTCTTTGTGGCTATAGCGCTCTCTATTAGACTATAAAATGGAACACAGTTTCGTATATGTTCGGGAAACTTTTCGTCCCCAGTAGTCATCTTGTTCTTCTTCGTATTTGTGAATGTAGTCGTTGAGACTGAGCAACGATTCAGAATTACATTCACATCTCGTCACAGCAGTCAACTGGAGAACTTACAAAATAATGGTTCGCTTGTGGCTGCCTCATTGGTGTTCTGCTGTCGACCGTTCCCCACTATTGCACCGGATGATTCTTTGTCTTCATTGAAAACTTTCTTTATTAAAGTGTCGTTATTGAACAGAAGCACGACTAGTGCAGAAGCAGCAAAAATAATGGCATACGTCCATTTATTATGCTGTAAACTAAAATCGGGACAAGTCATAATAGTAAAGCGATCACATTACCTCCTCTCCCGTAGATGACAATTTCCTGTACTTTACCTCTGTACAAATCATCAATTCGCTGAATTTTGCTTACCTTCAAAAACAGCTCATGATCAGGAACCTATGACCAACAGTCCTCGCTTTGACAAAGTGGTTTACGTGATTAAATTTTTAGAGACACATTGAGATGGGTGAGAATGTATGAGGATGTAGGCTACCTCCTTCGTAGATTTAGCTGCACAGATTATGGGTTATAGATTTAGTACTCCTTCGGAATTGGGCGACAGTTTTCGTTCTGCGAATCTGGCGAGTAAATTATCGAATATTGAGAAAAGATTTATTCTTTTGCACTAATAATTTTTTGTTTCATTGCCCGTATGTGCGATTATGTGCGATTGTTTAGATATTGTTTGCACTAGATTCCTATCGACATAGCGCTTCACGAAAACTGTTTTGAGAGGGACTAGATTCACTCATATAAAGGAACACCTCTGAGCGTAGAGTTTTGAAAAGCTTTTTTTTTCGGAAATATGTCCATCAAGGTCCATGCTCATGCCCATGCCCATTGTTCCCACTGGAGAAGCACGCGGATTCTACCCGCAAAGCGCACCGCGATTAGGCTTGAATTGAGCTTCTCCGAGTGGAGGACACTGTCTATACGAAATTCTGCGCGTCGCATCCAACATCTTGCCTTCAGTGAAAAGAATTGCTGACAGGTGGAGAACCTCAAGGACCGTCTCTTCGCGAGAAGCGAACGAAAGCCTTCGGAATCACCGTCTAACATGCCTGCTGAGCCTGTTGCACCAGCTCTCCACCGAGATTATCCTGGCCTGCGTAAAGACATTGGATGAACCCGCCAAGAATAGGCTGCTTTTCGCAAGGGTGTCAGCGCCCCCAACCACATCTGGACGGTTTCGAGGGTCATAGAAGTCTGCCAGGAGTACTGACTGCTTTACATCCTAAGCTTCGTTGCTAAAGAAAGCCTTTGACAGTGTCGAAACCAACGTCATCCTCCCTGCGAGTCGATCAAAGAGCGAGCCCAGCTCATGTGATGACATCGGCCGACTGCTACAAAGATTGTACAAAGGGCATACAGCCATTCCATCAGCGCCCTCATCATGGGAACTTTTTTTTTCAAATTTTTTTTCGTATGTTTGGACGTTCGATGAACATGGAAAACGATTTGGGTGGAGGACTTGACAAGAAAATAAGAGCAGCTCGTGCCTCTTCGGACCTTCAAATAAGCTACCGACCAGCTGACGGATCTGTAGCTTCCCCATCTGACTCGGCCACTGGGCCTATACTACGCCCACGTCGAAACCTCTGCGGACCATGCACAGAGCGCTTGAGTGGCTTGCGAAGATCAGCCGACACGAGCAACCTCTCCGGACTTCGCAGTACGGATGTGAGAAGAATTTCCCATTTATGTGATCCAGCGGAATCTGTCGCGAGAATGAAACATCGATGAACCAGACATATCATAAGAAGAACAAATGACAGATGGGCAATGAGTAAATCAGAGTGGAAACTTCGAAAACCAAAACGTCTTCAAGAAAGACCAGAACCAAATGGGCAGACTTGTGACTGTAGTTCTCTTAGGCGGCCAAATTCATCGTGAAAATTTCCCGTAATTTCGTTTAAAAAAAGGTTTAGAAAGGCATATTTGGAATCGGCGTTAAGACGAGTGCGCTGGTATACAGCTCAAAAAACCACGGTCAATCATTCGCCCCTTGTAAGCAGATGCAGGAGTGGCGTATTTTATATGTTCTGTCGTCTTTTATATGTTCATGATTCGTGCGGAATCAAGGTTCGTATACTAGTGCCCTTCAAATGAATGAAACAAAACAACCTTCAATGAAACATAATTCGTCAACAATCAAAAGAGTCATTTGGGATTTGCAGATTTTTCAGACTTGAATGCGATAGATTAAGCTAGTTAAGCTTTGGAAAACTTGAGATTCTCGATCAAAAATATAGGGTGCAGCAGGAGCGAAAGCAAAAGTATGGAAATTCAAACGAGGGCGCACATTCATGGGCTGTACAGGTTTGCGATGTCCATTTTTTACTTAGGTGTACCTTTGAGAAACATCAGTAGGACGCAGAAATGGCTATGGAATAGTGGAATGCAAAAAATTCCAGAAAAAACAGGAAATAAGCAAGCGCAGAGTGTCTTACAGCCGGCACCTAATTGACGTTCAAAGAAATATGGGGTGCGGAAAACTCTACAGATAATAGAAATTTATAGTTTTTGATTCTCAAATGTAGGCGAGACCTTGGAGATTAGTCTAGGATAACGTTTATTTTGTAGCGGTCTTCTTCCTTCCATTCAAGCGAGTGAAACAGCGAGCAGCATCATCGACGACGCGGCGCAGCGTTTGAGTGTGATTTTTAGATTGCAAATGTACCACCAAGAATGTTAACAATCTCAAGTCAAGGATAGTGTGCAGAGCTTAATCTCTTTTTGAAGATTCTTTACTCAGTGTAGATCAATGAATTTTTGGCTAAGCAAGAAAAATTATATCCCAAGCGAATCGCAAAAATTCTTGGAAGTGGATTGTCTGATCTGCTCTGCTCAAGGAAAGTCCAAACTATGATTCAGAATTCACTCCAGCAAAAACTGACGGAAATAATGAAAAGAGCATCGGGCTTTGTCTACATATTAATATTGTATCCAAGCGAATCGCAAAAATTCTTGGAAGTGGATTGTCTGATCTGCTCTGCTTAAGGAAAGTCCAAACTATGATTCAAAATTCCTCCAGCAAAAACTGACGGAAGTAATGAAAAGAGCATCGGGCTTTGTCTACATATTAATATTGTATCAATAAACGATTGCATATGTTTTCTGTGGCACGTTTTCATCACCCTGTTGCGCCACACGCTTTTTCGCGTAAAAATCCACATCTCTTCTTTTAGGGCAATTGCGGACTGGTTATGTTTAGAATATTTTAAGTCAGTCCCACCTTTCTTGAGAAACAGACCATTTCACAAATTCTCGTCGAAAACGAAAACATTTTTGCAAAAACTTTCATACTTGTAAAAGAGAATGGCAATGATTTATGGGATGCGTTTTGACAGGTCCACCGCCGGGCGAAATTGCAGAATTTGAGGTCATTTTTTGGAAACGCTAGAATGTGCCCTTATCTTGAAATTCATGTCATATTCACTATAAAAACCGGCAAAAGGCATTATAAAAACCTTACTTTCTAGGACAGTGCTTTTTCTTCCTAGCTTCGTAAAAACTATTTTTTGGGAGTGACTACCACTACCCCCCCCCCTTTTTCTAGGATCTTGAAGTTGTGGGCCGCAAAAATTTTGGAATCATCCAAAAAATTTTTTCGTGCGTGCCATGCAAACGAGCCTCAACGATAAACTCGCTCAAGGCGTTTTTTAATCCTGGGATAGAGTTGCTTCATCAGATTTGAAGGATAGTGAGTGATTGTAAAATTGCCATTGGTTATTTTTGTTAACCATGGTGCATATCCTGGATAACCACGCATTTTCTTCGTTCGACGATCGTTGAAGGTGAGATCGCGATAATGCCTGAACATTTTAAGCAAAAAACTGACAACTCTGTAAACATGACATAGGATCGTTAACCTTATTATGGCTCTGTCAGGAGGTGCACAGGCGCTTTCGTATCCAGGAAAATAGACGTACACTGCATGAACCACAAAAAGTAGTACCTGATACGAAATATGGAAAGTTTGGATGTAGCACCATCAGGTTACCTACTCGTCGAGTGTCTACCACACACTTTGCCATGGATCCAGGAGGTTCTACATCTGAGCTTTTGTCATAAACCAAGGTCGGCAGATGATTTCTCAGCGCTTCTTCTCCCTAAAGAGACGGAGTGTTGATGTATGATAAAAAATAGACGTAGATTATATGCCTAGGAACGCATGCCTCGTACTTGTCCGGTGGTTTTTTAGTGCACACAACCCAAGTGCTTCGAAACTGAAGCATTCCTATATTTGGTCTCTCTGTCATCGCTTTCCTTCAAATTTAAAAGTGAGCAGAATTTTCTGCGCAGATTCTGATCATAACATACATAACATATTGTGCAAGAGTCTGGTTTTCCAGGGATAAAATTCGTTCATCTAAATCTTGAAAAATTGCATAACGAGAATGGTGTCGACTCCTGTGCATGCAGTCCTAAAATGCATTATGGATTGAAAGAAAAACTTGGACGTCCTTACCTCTACTCCGACAAGCTGCCAGCTTTTTCCCCATCTCTCTCTATCTTTTCTTAAGTAGACAACTTCTGCCTCACCTCTCTTTGCAAAGTCGTCGAGGAGCTGAGCCATTATGTGTGATTCTCATTTTGGAATGAAAAAAGTTTGACTTACTAAGCGAGAATAGTTGTCAATATCTACGACGTATATGTAAAAGTGCTGCACACCTTGCAACTTATAGTGCTCTACAAATTCTGCCAGCAGCAACCACTTGCTTCTTGTACCATACAATGGTGAGAGGCAAACTGACAAAATGTATTTGGGCTCTGAACCTGCACATCAGCATCAGGGGTGAATATTAATTTGAATGCGCTTGCTTGTATAGATGTGTACCGTCTACTGTTCTGTTGTATACTGGCACTGTCAAAGTCACTTCTTCGTATTCGCGTTGTGTGATAGTCATGTAAGCTGCTCGAGGATGTGTACAACAATGGACAGCAAACTCAGGAAAAGCCACAGATTCAACAGAACCCAGCTCCTTCCAGTTCGCATCAAAATAGCGGCAATATACTTGCAGCCTGAGACAGACTAGAAAAGACTTGTGGCTAGGAGTTGAACTGAATGATCAGAAAAGGATGAGTATCGTACAACAGCTGCTACAGGAGCGGAAATGATATGAAATACAGTTGATGTTGAAATGTTTACTAGTTGTGTATGGAGTCAATAACTGGGGGGGGGGGCGCTCGCTACGTGCGGACGGGTGGAGGAACGAACACCTCAATTAGGCACCGCCTTCGCGGACCACAGGTCCCAACACGATGCACAACAGTAGGACGAAAGGACCAGCAGCCCGCGGAGGCGATGCCTTATTGGGGCGTTCGTTCCTCTACCTCGTGCGGGCTGCCGAATGGAAAACGTCGCAACGCGGCGTTACAGTAAGCGCGCGCGGGGAGCAGCAATGCAGAAAACTTGTCAGATTTGTACCAATAGAATACCACTGCTTCTTCTTGTTAGTTTTTTTTTTACCTTCTTCAATTTGTGTCTTTTTTGTCCTTTAAAGAGCTCATTTTACAACTTTTGTGGCAGAAGTTCAAATAATTAAGCAAAACTAATTTGAGAATAGTATGTGAACCTCAACTCAAAGGATGAGAAACTGAAAAAGTACGTGCTGCGGATCATGCCTGGCTGAGTTCCCCGAGTGCCATCACTGGCAGCCTGTCGCGCGCGACGTTACGCGTATATCTGTTAGTTACTTTCTCGAGTAAGTTTTGCTTTATCAAACGGTTACTCATCGCATTTACATCCATACTGCGGCTCTGGCAGAAGAAACGTTCATTATTTTTGCATCGAGCTAATATTAGCATCAAAACAAGATGGCAGGTAGGGGAACGTACCCGTACCATCCGGTGGCATCGTGCGTTATCACGCTATAATTTGGGTAAGCATAAGCACCAACTAGAGCTACAATATCTGCCTTTGGCCAGTTGATCTTTCCTATTTTCGCTGCTATAGTGTCTGCTATAAGACTGTAAAATGGAACACAGTCTTCGATATGTTTGGGTAGTCCTGCGTTCACAGCTGTCTTCGCCCCAGCCTTGTGCCTAGATGTTATCGGCACAGCTGCAATTTTGCATCGTAATTGTTGTAAGCCTTTTCGATCAAGTTGACCTTACGTGTTCGTGGATTCCAGCATTTAGCTTTCTTGCTAGTGTTCTGCGGCGGGGTGCTGTTCATTAAAAAATCGCTAGGCAATTCTATGCTTATCACTTTCTTTGAATATGGACTATAACTGAATAGAAACACACAGCCAACAACCAGAGGAATACCCGTAGCAGCGGAATATAACCAGTGAGTGCGCTAGAAAAGAAAAACTCGTGAAACTCAATATACTAGACTAATAACAAAAATAGGTTTACAAAATCTTCAGTATATGGCAATTCCCCATATTCAGAATCCTCTTCACTGTTTATCATCGCGGTTCGCTGTTATTATTCGCTGAAAATACATTTTAAATACGCTACAGTAAATGAAATTCAGAGAATTTAAATTTCTGCTATGCAGTAGTTATTGCATAATTCTAATGTTTTATTTGCGACATGGTTTTGAAGTGTTTGTGGCAGCTATTTTCTCTGCGAAAATAGTTTTCATTTCGGAAGAAAATGCTGCATAATTTCCAGTTTTGGCAAAATAAGTGATGTGCGAAAACTAAGAGTAGTTATAAGCGGCATCCAGTTTTGTTTTGTGTAGGTCACAAAAGCGTACAACTGTAAGATACGTTAAATGAATTAGTAGTGAGGATTTAGTGAGAAACTTATAACGAGGTCTGTGCAAGGAAAATTCTATTAGGCGTTATAGCAGTTTTTTCGCTGAGTGAGACGCGGTGTAAAATAAGATGAGCCACTTTTACGATTATCTAGTAAAAATGATGCCGTTATGCTAACTTTGCATGGTAAATTTTCAGAAAAAAAAAATAAAACGTAGGAGTGGCCAAAAGCCCAAATTGCTTCCCGAGATTCCTACTTTGTGAATCAAAATATCTTTGCTCAGACACAATGCATGTGTCTTGCATAGCAAAAACAGCACTTGCACAGAACTTGGTACTGCACACCGAATGTTTTTACTACAAAAAAAGCGATGACAAGTATAAACCGACATGAACTCAGAGAACCAAATATTTGGTGCGATTCTGGGCCAGGAATCAACATATCTGATTTGAAATTGACAGTGGAGTAGTAGTTGAAATTCTAACAACAGGCATTTTGATCATAGGCGTTGAGAGGAAAGGTGCTGCGAATTTTCATACCGATAACCATCTATCTAGTACAAAGATGTAAAAAAGTTATCGTCCCCTCCACAGATCGCGCTATCCTTGTGGCGTCGCGGTCGTGCCACGTATGACTAACACAGTGGCGACGTTGGCAGCAACACGTTGGCGTGGCCAAAATGTTCTGCCAACATGTTGGGGCATGCTGCAAACATGTTGTTGCCACGTTGCCAACATGTTAGCCACACGTGGCAGGTCTGAGACGCAGACCAAGGGTAGCACGATCTGTGGAGGGGACTATATGTAGTGTGCGCATGATCTTTAGCAAGCCTAGAGACCAAGGCCAGGCACGAGGGTTAAATGGACGCTTGTAAAATGAATTTGTTGCCACTTTCTGTTTACTTTCCAGTGGTCGCGCCAAGTGTATGGGTAGCAGTGGCGGACCGAGGGGGGTCCCTCCCCCCGAGAATTGCTCGCGAAATTTTTGAAATTCACTTACGTGGGTTATAAAAATGTGCAAGCAACTTGTTCTTACTTGTAAAGGATTAAAATAAATTTAGATTTTAGGGGTTGGGGCGCAAAAATTTTTGGAAGTACCTCTAAAATTTTTTGGATTGCGTGGCTAACGCCACGCACCTTCATTTGAAAAGAAATTTTGCCGCCCCCCCCCCCTTCCCCCCGGACGGAAATCCTGGAGCCGCCACTGATGGGTAGTCCAACTGAAGCATGCCTTCCTTGTTCAGACAATTATGGCGAGCACCCGCCGACCATCCATGGGCGACACCACGTCCATCCCGAGGGCGCTCCGATAATTACCATAAGCGCCCGAACAATGCCATCGGGTGGCCCGACAAGCGTCCGATCAATGCGCGATGTGCACCCGCGGGTGGTTCGATATGCACCCGATATTCGAGTAGAAAAATTTTGCACCTACTTCCATCCCCAGTCTGAATAAACACTCTAAACAAAAGAAGTGATGTCTAGACTACCTTAACAAAGCTTCAGTCAACCCCCTCCTGATTCCAAAACCAAGGACTTCAGTGATGGCTGTAACCTGAGAAGCTTGACGACTAGCACCCTAACTTTGCTTAACTTCTAACTCACCATGCAAAAGCGAGGGCAGCCCTATGAGTGCGGCGTATCTCGCAGCGCAAGGACCTAGCACGGCGAACCCGATTGATGAGGCGAGTTTTGAATGCGCAAATTATACACGCGCGAAATGCGGCGCGAGGCTCTGTGGTTGCAATTTGGCTGGTGGAAAAGGGAGCATAAGGTTGATATGGACTCCACAGTTTTCTGCACAGTGTCCTCCTCCTCCTAGCCCTTGTTCGTTCACATACCATATTTGGTGTCATCGTTGTGTGCGCGCTGTAAACGAGCTAGTTACTAGCTTTTGATCGAAAATTTTTTACAGATTGACTTATTGACTTGCACGTCGGTCCTACTGCAACTTTGAAAAGCTGCGTATGTGTATATGATCGTGTACCTAAGCTGGTTCATACTGATCCCGAAATTCCAGAGCTTCTCCAGCACAGTCCTCGTACCGTGCTGGAAATGTGTCGAAACTGTGCTGCATACTCTGCAGCCGTCCGCGTGCAGTTTTGAGCGGCGCATGGCAATTTTCACTTGCTTCAACGGTTCTAATTGTAGGCTTTGCTCGCATCTTGCTTGTTCTTGTGGTGTATATAATCACGAACTCGAAGTGGAATTCGAGAATGTAACTTTTTCATATTGTCCTGCGTAACTTATTTATTTTCCTTTGCGCACCTCTTTTCCTTCACAGTTTTTCTGCTAAACGCTCATTTTGTATTTCGGAGAGTCGCCGCATCCTCGATATCTTCACTCTTTCCAAAGGGGACTCATACAACCATCACAATCGCGGAAATCACAAATTTTTCTTTGTGTTTGCATGATATTGGGTTTTTGGGCGTTCCAGTCCGATTCCTTTTCACAACTTCTACTGCTTGCTCTTTCATTCTTTGATAATGTTCCGTTTTTGACGAAAAAAAAACTCTAAATTTGGAGAAATGTGCCCGAATGTAAGCGGTATCAATTTGTGATAGTTTTCAGCTGATGCACAACACGAAGTAGCGTTCATTCTTGTGCCCCCTCGCAAGTTTGGAACTTTTTCAATCATAAGAACAAGTGAGATAAAATGAAGTGAAACGATCAAAATTTAGTATGAAAACGTGAAAATTGTTGCTTCGCGTCGCTCAGAACCGCATGCGGGCGGCTGCAGCGCATGCAGCAAAGTCCCGGCACAGTTCCAGCACAGTGCGAACATTGCGCTGGAACTGTTCCAGAACTTCGACGGTATGAGCTCAGCCTTAGGTTATCCTTTTCCGACCTGAAACGATTTCCAACTTGACATCTGCCACCCCCGCCCCGGACCCTGCTAGAGACAGTGAAAAGCAATATCCTTGAATTTAGAGTGGGAAAATACCCATCACAGTGACTTCTTTCATCCTTTTTTCCCGTACCACTAAAAGCTCTAAAAAAATTTTCTTTTGCTGTTATCCCATTTACAAACTCCTCAAATATGAAGAAATTTAATATAACGTAACAATCCAGTTGGAAATGTGCAGCAACCATCAGAATCCTGAAAATTCTTGAAAAAATTGTGTATTGGTGTGCTGGCACATAGCGTACAAGTCAGCTTGTTGTGAATAAGGCGTTTTAAAAGTGAAGAACTGCGCGAAAATTCTGATCGGAAGTCGATAAGCTATTTGAAACTTTCTTCTCTTGCTTGAAGATTTAACACAAATGCTGTACTCATGTGAGAGGATCATCCCAATATTCAATTCGACATCGGCCCGTAGTAAGGCTCGGTCAGTACAGAGGCGACATTTATCAATCCAGTCGCTGTTCGAGCCATTGTTACCGAGTGCCCGGACAGAGAGAACGCCAGTCCATCAAACTTTACAATTTGGTCTGATCTGGCAAGTTTGGCCATGTCGGGCACGGCAGTCGGGTAGCAGCCCGATCTCGACAGATATACTTGCATGGACATGGCCTTCTCAATGGAATTATCAATTATGGATGGTTTGAATTATCAATCAATGGCTCAAATGAGGCAGAGCTCACTCGTCGAAGGCCCAACTGAAATTTTTTCAGTTGAGATCGACTGAGGCAGCTTTACTACAGGCCATTGATTTTGTCTAAACTGTTTAAATCGCACAATTCGAGCTTTCCTTGACTACTCTAGTTTTACGAGTACAAGACACACCATTTTTCTTTTAACACCAGCCTGAACACACCAAAGAATTTTGCGACCAAAGGGCTTCTACCGTGCTTCTTTTACCTAAAAGAAATGCATGGGAAAGTGAAAAAATGAAGGTATACATTTTATACTCATGAGATTAGCGTAAACTTAGATCTACATGCCCTGAGCGTTCTTCAGCTCTGATCATGTTTCCTTCGACTACTACATATCATTTTCATATCGTATTTAGCAAAAGAGTTGACAGCAGCGTTTCCCCTGCTCAAAATCGCATAAGTAAGTCGTTGAGTCGATCTTGAAAAATTCTCGGTGTTATTTTGATGCTCAAAAAGTGCTAATGTTTGTGGTGAAAGCAAACAAATTATTTGTCAGTCTAGAGATCCATCAATATCATTTGTCTTATCATTTTCGCACATATTCTCCTTTATTTCTCATTCTTTTACTTACAAGTTATATTTAAAACGAGTTCTAGAAGCCGCATTACAACAAAAGAAAATCAACAGCAATAAACAGTAAACTGTCAGACCAGTTAAATGCTAACTACCGACGCTCTATATCGCAAATGTTTGTCTTATAATGTATTTTTATCATTTTGAAATAGGCCCAGCTGAGCTACCGGTGGCGGGTTTTTTGACTTCGATATACTCTGTCTAACCGTTTTTTGACATTATTATACAGTCTCCTCATTAAATTATCTGGGTAATCTGTCATTGTGAAATTGCCAAATCCTTCCACTTCGTGTATCCACGTCTTTCCCCAGTTGTCATTAATGAGATCCCGATAGTGCCTACAGAAAATCGTATGGAGTACGTCGCGATTAGTCATATGAGGGTTTCAAATAGTCCGCAAACCTTATTATGGCCTTGTCTGGTGGTGCATCAACACTGTTATATCCAGGGAAATACAAATACACCCAGTGAACCCACATGAGTAGTACCTAGAATAAGATGCTCAGAGCAAGCTCAACAATCAAAAGACTCACACGGCGAGGATCTAGCACACACTTAGCTGTATGCCCAGGGGGAGCTACAGCTGATGTGTTGTGGAAAACAAGAGTGGGCAGGTGCTTCTTTAGTGTAATCACTCCCTAAAAGAAAGAGCAGTTTTTGAAGTTGTAAACTCAAACCGAGGCATGCCTCATATATATCTGGTGGTTTTCTGGTACGTAGCACCCATGTAGTTCGGAACCGAAGCATACCTATATTCGGCTTTTCAGTCATTGCTTTCCTTGAAAAAAGTTTCAAAATATATCCAAGAGCGGCAGTTTCGCATGACCTACGGGACATATTCGGCAAGAGTTTGGTTTCCCAATGCCAGGATTCTTTCGTCTAAATCTGTAAATATGGCATAGCGAGAATGATGCCGGCTTCGTTGCAAACAGTCCTTAAAAAGAGATGGCAAAGGTTGGAACAGAGAATTCTTTACCCTTACCTCTACTCCAACAAGTTGCCATTCCTTACCCACTCGGTCTTGCTCTTTTCTGAAGTATACGACTTCGACATCGCCACTCTTTTCATAGTCATCAATGAGCTAAATAAATCATTTAGTTCTTCGATTTAACCCAGAAAACTGTCAACTTACTAAGCGAGAGTAGTCATCGATATCCTTAACATAGATGTAAAAATGCTGGACACCTTGCAGTTTATAATGCTCAATCAGTTCCACCAACAGCAGCCACTTACTCTCATTGCCATACATAGGGGCGAGGCATATTGACAAATTGTATTTGGGGTCTGAACATGCGAGCTAGGTATCAAATTTTGTTAGAAAAACTCGTACTTACTATCCACAGTTCTGTCAAGAACTGGTACCACAAAAGACACTTCTTCATCTTTACTTTCGGTTATCCCCATATAAACTGCCTTGGGATGTCTACAGCAATGAACAGCGAATTCGGGGAAAACTATCGACTCGACGGGGGAACCTAACTCGTCCCAGTTGGCATCAAAGTAATGACAATATACTTTCTGTCTGAAGTGTGGAATTAAGAGAGGAAAACTGTTGGCAAATACAACTCACCCATACCATCCATCTGCTTCGATGGTAACCACGGAATAATCTGGGTAAGCATAAGCTCCAATCAGAGTCAGAGTTGTCTTTGGCCAGTCTCTCTTTCCGGTCTTTGCTTTCACACCATCTGTCAGGAGGTTATAAAATGAAACGCATTCTTTGGCGTGTTCTGGTAGTTTTAAATTCTTTGTCGCCAACATGACCACAGACGTACTTGCTGAAGTAGTTTAATTTAAAAGTTCGCTTTATATCTTGACATGACAACTTTTTATTGGTTTTTTGCCTGAGCGCCACCAAGATGGTACATCTTCATCAACGGACGCCATTTCGGCGTCGTCGTCATCTTCTGAGCCTGGAATCAAAGACCACTTATGACGTATCCTCTCAAACCTCATTTGATACTAAATCCATATGTTAGATCAAATGAGATAAAAGCGAGAAGGAAATTTCGAAGACATCCATCAAAGATTATGATTCAAATTCCATGACTTACTATCTGAGTGCCATGTAATTGTAGTTTTCTTGGAAGAGAGGTGCCGGGTAATAACCACCTCACCATCCTTTGTCAATTTGCTGAGTACTTCTATTTTGTACGAAGCCTTTGGCGATGCATTATAACTGAAGAGCAGAAACAAGAACCCAGCAAATAGAATACTACCAAAACCGACGTAGGACCATTGAATTCGCTGAATTCCATCTTTCAGAGTAAATTCAATAATTAAGGGGCAACTCACCGGATGTTTGCCATTTACGGACAACCTTTCATATGTTGTTTGGTCGTCTCTCATGGCAGCATTGAGTAGCATTTGCTGTGGCTACAACATCTAAACAATTTTAATGGTCTAAGCTGTAAGACAGAAAAATCATTAAACCTATTATGATAGCTAACATCAATATATACGAAATAACTAGCTAGAACATTCTTGCACACATACACGCAGTACGTGTGGAGAGGCTATATTCAGTCAGAAAATATACATATCAAATTTTTTGCAAATGCTGCACTGAATTGATGCACGTGAATCGAGCATGCTATAACGGATAAAAACTTATCGATGAAAATTTCTCAATTCTCTTTGTTTTCTTACTTTATCAGTTATTTGAAAAAGTATCAGGTTGGTCTGAAAGTTCGTGCAGCGTTTAGAGTAATGATAGGCAAATACCGCAAGCAATGTTCGATGCAGAATTTCTTCCTCTTTCTAGTTATGTACTTAGCTGCTCAGAATTTCGTTTCAGTTTTTTTTTTGGAAGAGCTTGATAATGTTTGGATAGAACAAGATGCAATATACATTTTTATCTATAGCTGGCCCCTTCAAAATTTCTGATATCAATCTTTTGATTCTATTAGACTCTATATCTAACAAAGAATCTCATACTTCCCAGCTTGTTTCTGGTTAGAAGATTAACAAAATTCTTGATTTTGCGAGAGCATCAGGCTGTACCCGAAAATATGTCAGGGCCGTAAACGCTTAGCTGCTTTGTAGATCTAGTGAAAAATCGTTTTTTAGAAGTTTCAGACTCCGAAAGTTTATTGTTGTTTTAAGCGTTTGTGTATTTTTAAAGCGCGCAAAAATGTATACTTCTGCAAAATCTTTTCAAGAAACTAAAAAGCCATCTACAGATGCCCAAAAAATTCATTGTACAGCACTTTGTTTACTTTATCGAGCAATTATCAAAACTCCTCCAAAAGTCAGAAGTGAAAATCTCCTGCTAAACTCAGTGTGGGCAAAAACCATGTTTCCGCGATTCTAGTGATTATTCCAGCAAACATCAAGGATCTCATTATCAAATGAGGAAGTGTTTTCTGCATTGTCTTTTCAGAGCATTTGCCTTATCACGCTAAACGATTTGAGGATGGGTCTAAAAAACGACACGAGCTCTGGACCGATTCAAAAGAATGTTCTTATCAAAAAGTGATTTGACATTTATTGATCTGGGAGGCTTAACATTGAGGACTTCAGTCGCTCTTACCAACAAATTTTTAGTGCCTTGCACTTCATAGTTTTGGTACAAAATGGTACCAGTAAATTATTTAGAAATTGCGATTTTGATAAGAGCCATAGTTATGGCTGCCATCATAATCGCAATTTTGATTTTTCAAATCACTGGTTTACTTTTTATTTTGTTTACTTTCTGCATTCTGCGGAAAGATAGTGCATGCATGCGATTGGAATGATATCTTATTTTGTAATTATGGTAGTCTTACATAGAGGTGCAACTGCTCCTGTGCATAAATGGAAAGGAAACGAAATGAGGAGAGGGGTAAGGAGGCAATGGCGAGAAATGAGCGACAGCATGAACAAAGATGAATCGCTTTCTACCCTTTATAGGGAAGTCAAGTTTCATATGAAAAATGCAAATTTCGGAGTTCAAAAAATAGCATAATAATGACAATAACAACAACGAAATTACCATGGTAATTTTCTGTCATTTTTATATGTAGAAAGCAAAATTATTTGTGAGAGATCCATAGAACTCTCTTATAGAAACCGTATTCTTGCGAAGGGAAACGCTATATTGAGTCACCAAAATGAGTCAAGAGGAGATTGGTGCAGTCACCGGTAAACATTGCTCATTGTTGACGAAAAATAATGCATAAGGCTTAGAAATGTGGGCAGTGAGAAGACGTTGGCTATTAAGCTTTCAACTTTCAAACAGTTCAAAGATTTTCCAAAGACAGGTCACGTTTCATATATAATGTAATCGAAGTATGCAATAACGTGCAAAGGAAGAAGTCATTTACCAGTAGCGTGCAGATTGATTGATTCTGGTGATAAGACAAGTCTGGAACACAGCACATGTGGAATACTTTTGATGGTTGCTATTTCCAAATGTTTCTCATCATTGACTAAGTGTAGAAAACCCTTTGACTTTGATGAAACTTCTCATTACATACAAAATACACGATATAGCTTTAAAAACGCTACACAAGCTTATTTGAACCTTTTATCTATTAGAGCAAGATCAACGCATAACATTGCCAATACCCGTAAAACATTACAATCTGCAATGAACTTACAGAGAAGGAAGGTTGGTCGAAGTGGCCTATTAAAATGAGATGTATACTGTCTTGTAGAGCTTGGAACGCTGATTCCAAATCTGTCTTCGCTATCTGCTGCTGGCTTCTGGTCGATGAGTTATGAAGGTTTTTGTGAGTAAAAAGTTACTTGCAAGATTAGTGTAAAATCAGTCGTAACATTTTTTCTAGGGCTTAACTGGTAGTCGGTTCACTTGCTGCAACAATTTTTCTTCCCCTTCAAATATATCATCTCGCTGCTGCCTCATTTGAATGTTAGGAAAAGGTTACGACTGATTTTTTGCTAATATTGCATTTGGATTTTTATCACAAAAAGCTCATAACTCTTCGCCAAGAAGTCCGCGGCAGATAGCAAAGGCAGATTTGGAATTAGCATTCCAAGCTCTACAAGACAGTATACAACTCATTTTAAAAGGCCATTTCAGCCAAACCTTCCTTACCTTGTTGGATATAAGTTGTGTGAATTCTTCTTTATCCTTAAAGGCAGTGGCTCGGCAAATTTCATCCTAGTCAAATTTGCGCTTATCTGGGGTTTTTCAATACGCCTTGAAAACTGCGAAAATGAGCGTGTTTAATGCCCTTCTCTTTGATATTGGACGAGTGGAGCAAGGCCGATGACGCTAAATCGTGGCAGGACCATAGGTGCGATAGGGGGAGCCGGGCTCTCCCCAGGTGAAGGGGGTCTCGGCTGTTCCCGACCTTCCAGGGTGAAGGGGGTATGTGAGTCGGGGGGGGGGGGGGGAGGAAGAGAGAAAAGGTAAAAGAGCGTGGTATGAAGAGCTCTAATTTGTACCTTATTTAGGCACAAATTGAAAAAAATTTAAAAAATTCAAAAGAATCTAAAAAATTTTAAAAAAATTGATTATGAAGATCTGTGCTCCTGTTTCACTGCATCAACAAAAAACGCAAGCAATAATGTTTATCCCAAAAGATGTACAAGTTAGGAACAATTTCATTTCCTGCACATCATCATCAACAATATCACTATCGCTAACGCCAGAGACAACAATTTCGCTGCCTGAAAAATCTTCTTCTTCCTCCAAAAGGTCATCGGAGTAGAAGTAGAATTGCGTGCAAAAGCGTTCTGAGTCGAAAATGGATTTGAAACTCTCTTCTTCTTTTACGCGCTTTTGTGATTTTTTTCTTGGCCCTCTGGTAGCACCAGGAAGTCAGCAGATAGGTGACCAGTTTCTTCATACCATCTTCTAGGATATTTCAAAAAGTCATACGGCAATAGCCTGTCTGGACCACTTATACCAATCCTTTAAATGAAGTTTTCAGATAACAATGTGTTTAGTAGAAGGTTGACAAATCTTAAATATTTGCTTAGATGCTCTATCGTTGTAGACTTCTGCGTTGTGTTCTGATAACAGAGTAATTAGAAAATTTCTTTCTGCACCTCTGCCGTGCTAGTCGGAATGGAAACTAGCTTTGCTAGTAGGTCCATCAGATTTTTGCGGTAAGTAATGGGAAAAGAGCCAGATCTCATATGCTTTCGCAGCACGGGAAGGAAATAGTGCATACTTTTTGGGCCTTGTCGAACTCTGGCTTCACCTCCTCTGGCATACGTCCTGTTAGCTGATTAGAAAGCTGCTCAACTTCTTCTTTAACAGCATCTGCGGAATAGCCGAAAAAAGGAGGTACTATGCTGCGCGTTGGTTTTTTTTTTCAATATCATAGGTCATATTGTCACAAGGTGAATAACTTTCAAAAGCATAAAGCACAGAGTTGGGTTCGCACTCCATCCTGGATCTAAGTGCAGTAACTATGCTTTGTACTAACACCATCCTTTTGTTCATATCCATGTTTGTGAATTTAGCAGCCTTGAATTCTTCAGCAACCTGAAGATTAGCAATGGACTTCCTGGACATTTCCTCATTGAAACTAGACAATTTGCTTGGATTCCTTATGCAGGAAATCAGAGAGTATCGCTCAATTGCCAACTCTGTATCAATGTCGACAACATTTTCGTCGGCGTAAGATTCTTCTTCTGCCTCGCTGTTGAACTGGAACACATGCGAGTCATCTGCGATTTTGTAAAGTATTCTTCCTGCAGCTTCCTCTTCAAACTGCCAACCTTTGCAAAACATTGAGGGATATTTTAATAACATGCTATTCTTCTGAATGTCTTAGAATTTTTGATTCATTGAAACCAACCATTCTTTACAAATTAGGTAAGGTAAGTCTAGAGCGTTTTCACGAAAGTGACCTTCTTCAGCACTAGGTTTACAGAGTATAGATTCCAGAAATGGGCGGGTTTTTGTGTGAAGGTGTGGAAATTCACCAATCTCCCATAGTTTTTTGAGTGTGTGCTAATAATGATGGCATAACTGTCAATCAAAAGCGCATTTTTTACCAAAAAAAAAACATAAACATATAACAACGATAAGCGCGTTCAAATAGACGCGTTCGCTCGCGTTCCCGTTAGTGCTGATAACGATGTCAATCCACAGCACATTTTTTACTATCAACTTGCTCCACCTCGCTCTTATTAGGTCGTCCAGAAAGTTTTTGCACATGAATTTCAAAATTCATAATTCTGATTTTTCCAACCGATTTGACTGCTTTCACTTTTATGTGAAAGGGTAAGTCATGCTCTTTATAATGACATCTCAGCTGCTTAGTAATGGTCATCTGTTGCATAGATAGGAGCGATAGAAGAAAAATGTTAAAAATTTTAATTTTTTGTGTAGGGTCATAAAAAATCGGAGACTTGCAACAAAAATTGGAGCAGTCAGTACTGTAGGTTCTTTCACCAGCTCTTTCTAACAGTGCAAAGTTTGCGCCGATTGAGCGTCTCCATGAAAAGTTATGATTTCCCTGAAAAATGCCAAAATAAATCAAATTCGCCTTTTGTACTGCTCAGACAATCGCCGGGGGCAGGCGGGCACCGGAAAAATAGATTGCTGATCTCTCGCACCCCGCTCGCGGATTTTTTGGAAAGCAATCAGGACTTTTCGGAAGACCGCTTGCTGAGTTCTCGATTCCTCAGAGATTCAGCAATATATCTGCAAAAGATAAGAGCGAAAAAAAAATTTAGCAGGCGGTCTCTCAAAAATCCGCTGACTCAGCAAGCGTTCTTCCGAAAAGTCCTGATTGCTCTGCAAAAAATCCGCGAGCGGGGTGCGAGAAATCGGCAATCTATTTTTCCGGTGCCCGCCTGCCCCCAGCGATTGTCTGAGTGCTTGCTCAGAAATTATAACTTTTCATGGAAACGCTCAATCCGAGCAAACTTTGCACTGTTAGAAACAGCTGGTAAAAGAACCTACAATACCGACTGCTCCGATTTTGTTGCAAGTTTCTGATTTTTTATGACCCTACACAAAAATTCAAATTTTGAGTGATTTTGTTTTGAGCTTCTATCTATGCAACAGATGACCATTACTAAGCAGCTGGGATGTAATTATAAAGAGCATGACTTACCCTTTCACATAAAAGTGAAAGCAGTCAAATCGGTTGGAAAAATCAGAAGTTATGAGTTTTTGAAAATCGTGCGCAAAAACTTTCGGGACGACCTATACAATGTGTTGGCTCTTATGGGTCACCGAAGCAAATGATTTTTAGAGCCGGGAAGCAAAGAAGCCCTAACATGCTGTATACCATTCGAAAGCTGAGATCATGGAGAATCGACGTAGACCGTCGACTTTTTTCTAGGTCTTCTGTGCCGCGAGATATGAGGGATTTTATGTGCTTCAAAAATTAACTGATTTTGTGTCCTCACTTTCTGCTCTCCAAATGAATGCTACGAGAAAGTCGACGGTCTACGTTTGTTAATGAAGACTTGCTCTTTAACACAGATAGATAAGCAGCAGTGATTAGGTCTTCATTTGGCAGAAATCTGCTGTTGAAAATGACCATGTTTTCAGATAAAATGCGGTGTAACTCTCGGTAGAGGGGGGCTAGAAAGAAATCGACGGTCTAGGTCGAATCCCCTTTTCCTGAGCTTTCGAGTGGTATATAGGTTGCTGGGCGAAAAAACGGACCAGTTTTCAAAAATGGGGTGGAGATATTTACTATTAGCTTGCTCCAATCCGGCTCCACCAATGTATTGGCTTTTATCGGTTACCGGAGAAAATGATTTTTAGAGCCGGGAAGCAAAGAAGCCCTAACATGCTGTATACCATTCGAAAGCTGAGATCATGGAGAATCGACATAGACCGTCGACTTTTTTCTAGGTCTTCTGTGCCGCGAGATATGAGGGATTTTATGTGCTTCAAAAATTAACTGATTTTGTGTCCTCACTTTCTGCTCTCCAAATGAATGCTACGAGAAAGTCGACGGTCTACGTTTGTTAATGAAGACTTGCTCTTTAACACAGATAGATAAGCAGCAGTGATTAGGTCTTCATTTGGCAGAAATCTGCTGTTGAAAATGACCATGTTTTCAGATAAAATGCGGTGTAACTCTCGGTAGAGGGGGGCTAGAAAGAAATCGACGGTCTAGGTCGAATCCCCTTTTCCTGAGCTTTCGAGTGGTATATAGGTTGCTGGGCGAAAAAACGGACCAGTTTTCAAAAATGGGGTGGAGATATTTACTATTAGCTTGCTCCAATCCGGCTCCACCAATGTATTGGCTTTTATCGGTTACCGGAGAAAATGATTTTTAGAGCCGGGAAGCAAAGAAGCCCTAACATGCTGTATACCATTCGAAAGCTGAGATCATGGAGAATCGACGTAGACCGTCGACTTTTTTCTAGGTCTTCTGTGCCGCGATATATGAGGGATTTTATGTGC